TTGAAACAGAAGGGGTTCAATATTTATTTGGCCGACGGTTCCCGGATAAAATCGGGGGTAGTGAACCAGGAAACCCCCTCCATCACCACTGTCATTGCCGGCCAGCACCAGGAACTCCTCCGCCTGGATGCTATAGCTTCACCCCTCTTCCCAGTCATTCTGGGGCTCCCATGGTTACGGGCCCATAACCCCAGATTGACTGGGAGACCGGAGTAATCACGTTCCCTTCCCCATACTGTCGGATATACTGCCGCACTCCGGGCCCGGGGGCCCCCCAAATCCTCCTGTGCTCTGAGGGGGAAGCTGAATTAAAACAAGTAATCCTGCAGTCTACCATGGGTTTCTAGATGTGTTCAGCAAACGGGGAGCCGATACTCTACCCCCCCACCGCCCTTATGACTGCCCCATTGACCTGTTACCCGGCTCAGAAATTCCTTTTGGGCGAATCTTCCCCTTTCAGAGCCCGAATTGGGGGCTCTAAAGGAATATATCGAGGACAGCCTCCAGAAGGGGTTCATCCGCCACTCCACTTCACCGGCGGGGGCGGGAATCTTCTTTGTTGAAAAGAAAGATAAAACCTTAAGGCCGTGCATCGATTACAGGGAATTGAACAGGGTCACGATAAAAAAACCGTTACCCACTACCGTTAGTACCAGAGCTGTTCCAAAGTCTAAAGTCAGCAGTGGTTTTTACCAAGCTGGATCTGAGGGGGGCGTACAACTTGATTCGCATAAGGGAGGGGGACGAGTGGAAGACGGCCTTCCGCACCCGCTTCGGTCATTTTGAATATCTGGTCATGCCGTTCGGGTTGTGCAATGCTCCGGCCACTTTTCAACACTTTGTAAATGATATTTTTAGGGACTTTCTGGATGTCTTTGTGATCGTTTATTTAGACGATATTCTGATTTTCTCCCCGTCTTTGGGGGAACACAGAATACATGTAGCAAAACTTTGGGCGGTTGCGGCAGCATGGGTTGTACGCCAAGGCAGAAAAATGTTGTTTTGAACAATCCAGCATTGCCTTCTTGGGCCTGATTATCTCCACCGCGGGGGTCGCGATGGATCCCCAGAAGGTCGCTGCAATACTGATAGGCCTGAACCCACAGACAGGAAAAGCGTCCAACGATTTATCGGCTTTGCAAATTTTTTACCGGAAGTTCATCAAGAACTTCTCGGGTCTGGTCTCCCCCATTACTCAGCTAACCAAGCTGGGAACCCGATTCAGATGGACACCAGAAGCGCAGGGAGCTTTCGAAGTCTTGAAGAAGCTGTTCACTTCGGCACCCATTTTGGGTCACCCAGACGCCGCTCTGCCCTATATCTTGGAGGTAGATGCGTCGGAGAATGCGGTAGGCTCCATCCTCTCCCAACGAAAAGGCACCAAGGAACTGCTCCACCCCTGTAGCGTTCTTCTCACGGAAGCTTACCCCAGCGGAGAGGAACTATGATATCGGTGATCGAGAGCTACTAGCGATCAAAACGGCGTTAGAGGAATGGAGGTACCTGCTGGAAGGTGCGGTGCACCCCATCTTAATATTTACTGACCACAAGAACTTAGAGTATCTGAGAACCGCCAAGCGTCTACGCCCGCGACAGGCGAGATGGGCACTATTCTTCTCAAGATTCAACTTCCACATTACGTACCGGCCGGGATCGAAGAACACTAAGCCGGATGCGTTATCACGGATGTACGAAGACGCCAAGGAGACCCCAGTACCCGACACCACCCTGTCCTCGGGTAAACTTCTTGGTCCTTCAGTCGGACCTTCGTTCCAGGCTAATGGAAGCATCCACAAACTTCTCTACCCCAGGCGGAGGGCCGCTCCAGAACAAAGGGGGACTCCTATGGAGGGAAGATCGAATTGTGGTGCCGACGAAGCCCGAACCCTGGTCTTGGGGCATTGCCACGACCACCCGATGGCGGGGCACTTTGGCCCGGAAAAGACCCTGGAACTTCTCCGACGCTCATTCTGGTGGCCAGACATGGCTAAGGATTGTAAGGGCTATGTAAGGTCCTGTGTCACCTGCCAGAAGAACAAGCCATCAAGAAACAAGGTTTGGGGTCTGCTGCGACCCTTACCTATTCCTGAACGGCCTTGGCAAAAGATCTCATTAGACTTTATAGTCGAGCTTCCGCCATCCCGAGACCACACGGCAATCCTGGTAGTCGTGGACCGCTTGTCCAAGATGGCCCACTTCATCCCGTTGAAGAAAACCCCCTCGGCGGCCGAGACCGCGCGAGTCTTCATTCGTGAGGTAGTCAGGTTGCATGGGGTCCCCGAAGACATTGTCTCGGACCGAGGGGTCCAGTTCACGTCCAGATTCTGGAGAGCACTGTGCAAGGCCCTGGACATCAAATTATCTCTCTCCTCTGCGTTCCACCCTCAAACTAACGGTCAAACCGAAAGGACCAATCAGACCTTGGAGCAATACTTGAGATGCTATACCTCGTTTACTCAAGATGACTGGCTGCCACTTCTACCTCTAGCGGAATTTGCGTATAACAACGCCCGCCACTCAGCAACAGGGCAGTCCCCGTTCTTTGCCAACTATGGCTTTCACCCAGTCTTCCTCCCGGATTTGGTGTCGGAAAGCCCAGTACCAGCAACACAAGATGTGGTAACGTTCTTCGCTGCGAACAATAAGAAGCTTCAAGTGGCCATCAGTCGGGCCCAGGAAGACTACAGGAAAGCATCCAACAGGAAACGGAGGGGAGATCTGGTATTGCGGCCTGGGGAGAAGGTTTGGCTGGCGACGTCCAATTTAAAGATGCTTTGCCCGTCAAAGAAATTGGGACCCAAATTTATAGGCCCCTTCTGCATTAAAACGGATGGTTAACGAAGTAGCCTACGAACTCGCCCTCCCTGACACGCTCAAGATCCACCCGGTCTTCCATGTGTCCCTGCTGAAGCCAGTGGTCCCAGATGCCTTCCCTGACCGGGAATCTTGACCCCCGGAAGCGGTAACGGTCGAAGGAGAAGAAGAGTTTGAGGTTGAAACGATCCTGAAATGTCGGAGGAGGGGAGGCCAGACCCAATTCCTTATCAAATGGAAGGGCTATGGCCCTGAGGACAATTCTTGGGAACCAGCCCATAATGTCCATGCACCCAGACTTGTCCGGAGGTTCTTTCGCGATCACCCGTGGTGGAGAGATCGGGTGGACATCCGGAGGCTGCCCGTAGGGGGGGGGGGCAATGTCAGGGATCTCCTCGATCCCTGCCGCGATGGTCCCGGCGCAGGCGCAGTGCACCGCCCTGTGCAGGGACACGGGCACTAGGTCCGTGCCGGCCGCGGCGTTCGAGTTCGCGCATGCGCAGTAGAAGCCGCGGGCCGCCCGCTGGGCACCAATGGCAGCGCAGGGCGGGATATTTAAATGGCCCTGAGCTGTCATTCAGTGCCTTCTGGTCTTCCCTGCATCCTGTGAACCTGTGATCCTGTGCCCCTTGTAAGTTTTGACCCGGATTGTACCTGACCTTGCTGCTTTCTCCTGCTCTGACCCTTGCTTTGCCTGACCTCTCTCCTGAATGCCCCCTATTGGATTTGACCTGCTGTTGCTGACCTGGCGTGTGACCCGACCATTCTATGCCCGCTGCCTTGTACCTTGCCGTCCTCTCTGTTACCGACCCGGCCCGTCTGACCTTGCTCATCCATCCATCCATCCCTTGCAGCAGGGTCTTCTGACCTCCTCACATCAGACTCTTCCCCGTGGGAGCCCCTTGCGCATACTACTACCACTGACGGGCGCACCCAGTAGTCACGACCTGGTCTCAGGGAGCTCCAAGTCCATCCCCACCATCAGGGGCCCTGGTGAACAAGCACCCTGGGACTTAGACTCCGTGCGCTGGGGACGCCTATTCAGTGGAGTGCTAGTAGTACCGCCGGGCGGGTCCCTTACAATAGAACAATGGGACCACCTGGCAGTAAACAATGAACAACCCCCACACCCCACCTGTACATGTTTACACAATATCAGGACATTCCACCCTGTACCCCTAACAGGCACAGGGTGACTTACACATAATAGGGATATGGGGAGCTGAGACAGGGGTCTTTCCACCTCTCTAAAGGGGGCTGTGTTACATGGGCCCCCCACCCAAAGTGACTCCCGTCACAGATATGAAGGCCAAAAAAAAAAAACGAAGTGTGACCTGACAGTCCACATGAGTTTATAGGACTCTGACACAAGATATATACACAGGGCGGGGCAATACATTTAGTAAGGAGACACACAGCTGACACCTCCCACCAAGCCAATACACATAAACACATACATCCCATAATAGTTTTCTCTCAAGCAAGACACAATAGAACTATGGGACCACCTGGCAGTAAACAATGAACAACCCCACACCCCACCTATACATGTTTACACAATATCAGGACATTCCACCCTGTACCCCTAACAGGCACAGGGTGACTTACACATAATAGGGATATGGGAAGCTGAGACAGGGGTCTCCCCACCTCTCCAAAGGGGGCTGTGTTCCATGGGCCCCCCACCCAAAGTGACTCCCGCCACAGATATGAAGGCCAAAAAAAATGGAAGTGTGACCAGACAGTCCACGAGTTTATAGGACTCGGACCTATTCTGGTCCTAGGCAATCATACATTCCAAATATCTGATCCTATATTTCACAAGTCCAATTAGATAGCGATGGAGCATTTGGTTGAAGCCAATGTCTGGCAATGACAGAACAAGCCACTGAGAAAATGCTGAAATAAACTCTTCTTGATTTGTTTGTACCTACCAGCCATTTTTAAATGTGCACTTCATAATTTTAACATGATTGGTCAATTAAATTGTGATTTTATTTATAGTGTGATGTACAGACATACACACCTGTAAGTCCAACAATTTTCTTTTACTTGGTGCTCCATTAAATTGGCTGGGTTTGGTACAGGCCCTGAGAGGGGGACAATGTTCATGAATACTAAGCACAAATATTTATTGATTTCGAAAGGGCGACATACCTGTATTTCATTATTTGTATAACATCTTCAGCATCTTCTTTGATGGCCTCTTCCCTCAGCTCCAGCCTGGCTCGAGCCTGGTCACAAAGATAAATCAAAGTAACATAAAACTTATTTATCCAATGAAAAAAAACTCTACATAGTCATGAATCTTGAAATCTTTGAATATTTTTCTTACCCAGTGTGTTAGTTCCATTTTACCAAAATGATATGCAATATAATATGCTCAGTCCATCAGGCACATGGCTGTAATAATTTCCATATCTCATTGGACTGAGCAGAAAGTTAATTATCCCCTCTTTTTTTTTTTTTTATAAAAGATGTAGTTCAGTTTTAAAAAAAAAAAAACGCCTATGAAGGTAAAGGGCATGTATAGATAAAAAAGACAAATGCAGCTTTGACTAAAATTGGAGAATGCCCTTGCTATGGGTGTAGGCCATTTGTGTACCTACTGATGCCTGGCCAAATAACTCCCAGCCTTCTGTCCTGCCTTCGCTCCCAGCTGCAGTGCTCACCCCCACCATCACAGGAGCATGCTCATTCTCCAATTCAAACTCCCTCGCATGTGCGTTCTCTTCCCCACCACACTACCAGAGGCCAGTGGTGTATATAGTTCTTGTACTGCCCTAGGCAACACTAAAATTGGACCAGCACACTGACCTTAACCTCTCCGGAAAGCAGCCGGCCATTCCTGGAGCCAAGCCCAGTGTCCCACTTGTGCGGAAAGCTTACACCCTCCAGCAGCGCACAGACTCCTCGGATTTCATGGCAAAGCCTCATCAGGTCCCCATCCCTGCCCCCCTGAAAATTGCTGCCCTAGGCAAATGCCTTGTTTGCTGCCCTAGGCAAATGCCCAGCAATTTTCAGGGGGGCAGGGATGGGGACCTGATGAGGCTTTGCCATGAAATCCGAGGAGTCTGTGCGCTGCTGGAGGGTGTAAGCTTTCCGCACAAGTGGGACACTGGGCTTGGCTCCAGGAATGGCCGGCTGCTTTCCGGAGAGGTTAAGGTCAGTGTGCTGGCCCAATTTTAGTGTTGCCTAGGGCAGTACAAGAACTATATACACCACTGGCCTCTGGTAGTGTGGTGGGGAAGAGAACGCACATGCGAGGGAGTTTGAATTGGAGAATGAGCATGCTCCTGTGATGGTGGGGGGTGAGCACCGCAGCTGGGAGTGAAGGCAGGACAGAAGGCTGGGAGTTATTTGGCCAGGCATCAATAGGTACACCACTGGCTACAAACAGTTCAAACAGCAAGCACACCTGTTAATGTGGTAAATTGTTTGTTTGGGTCAGCTTGACCCAAACCAACTATTTAAAGGGACAATACACATGGAATTAGGCTTTAAAAAGACCATAATGGAGATGCAGATTTCTTCCTGCTTCTAAAGGAATAGAACTTGAAAGAACAGTAAAAAGGATCAGTGTGCAATTAGGATCAGTGTGCAATTAACATCAGAACTCAGAAAGCAGTTCTGCATTTTGTACAAAAATACTTTTTACTGGTTTTCTATACCTCTGTTAGTCGGATTAATGACTCAAGTTGTCTGGTTGTAATCGGAGTGCTGTCAATGCCTTGGTTCTGTTTTCTAAGCTCCAGGTAGAAGTCTTGGAGGACATGAGCTGCATCCAGGGACAGCTTTGGATGTACATACTGTCGAGCATAGCCAATGTACTTTCTTAAAAGCTGGTGTGGAATAGGATCAAAATATTCCCCTGGCCGACCCTAGATTTGGAATAAATAGTGTGAGCAGTCCTTCAACAAATATTGAATTAAGAGCATATAAAAATCTACAAATAAGCATGATTGGTGTGAATCACATCAGCAAAGTGACTTTGGGTGCAGACTTTTCATGTATTTGCATTAACAATTTGCCGAGGGTTTGTTTCCTTCTCAATCACAAGGTTTTATGCTGGAGCGGCTAATTGAAAATTTGGACAGATATAGAAGCCTGCTCCAATCTTGTATGCATCAAGGTGAGCAAAGTAACATCCACCAAGTATTGAAAATGCACTGCTGGATGATGCAGATTGATAAAACATAAAGCACAGATTATTTTCCTCTACGGCTCCAGCTGTACGACCCAATACTTAGGATTCCCAAAACAACCATCCTGCGCTACCTCTACTTTTGGGAATATAGGGGAGACTAAACTAGTGCAAGACCACGTCTAAGTACTCCATACTCTTTACACACACAATATATATTGCCAAAAGTATTGGGCCCGCCCTCCAAATCATGTGATTCAGGTGTTCAATCACCTCCATGGCCACAGGTGTATAAAATCAAGCCCCTAGGCATGCAGACTGCTTCTACAAACATTTGTGAAAGAATGGGTCGCTCTCAGGAGCTCAGTGACTCCAAGCGTGGTCCTGTGATAGGTTGTCACCTGTGCAATAAGTCCATCCGTGACATTTCCTGGCTACTAAATATTCCACGCTCAACTGTTAGTGGGATTATAACAAAGTGGAAGCAACTGGGAACAACAGCAACTCAGCCACCAAGTGGTAGGCCACATAACATGACAGAGCGGGGTCAGCGCATGCTGAAGCGCACAGTGCACAGAAGTCGCCAACTGTCTGCAGAGTCAATAGCTAAACACCTCCAAACTTCATATGGCCTTCAGATTAGCACAACAACAGTGCATAGAGAGCTTCATGGAATGGGTTTCCATGGCCGAGCAGCTGCATCCAAGCCTTACATCACCAAGTGCAATGCAAAGCGCCGGATGCCGTGGTGTAAAGCAAGCAACCACTGGCTAGAGCAGTGGAGACGTGTTCTCTGGAGCGATCAATCACGCTTCTCTGTCTGGCAATCTGATGGACGTGTCTGGATTTGGCAGTTGCCAGGAGAACAGTACTTGCCTGACTGCATTGTACCAAGTGTAGTTTGGTGGAGGGGGGATTATGGTGTGGGGTTGTTTTTTAGGGGTTAGGCTTGGCCCCTTATTTCCATCGAAGGGAGCTTGTAAGGCGTCAGCATACCAAGACATTTTGGACAATTTCATGCTCCCAACTTTGCGGGAAGAGTTTGGGGATGGCCCCTTCCTGTTCCAACATGACTGCACACCAGTGCACAAAGCAAGGTCCATAAAGACATGGATGAGTGAGTTTGGGGTGGAGGAACTTGACTGGCCTGCACAGAGTCCTGACCTCAACCCCATAGAACAGCTTTAGGAAAAATTAGAGACTGTGAGCCAGGCCTCCTCCCCCGACATCAGTGCCTGACCTCACAAATGTGCTTCTGGAAGAATGGTCCAACCTTCCCATAGACACCCTCCTAAACCTTGTGGACGGCCTTCCCAGAAGAGGTGAAGCTGTTATAGCTGCAAAGGGCGGGGCCAACTCAATATTGAACCCTACGGACTAAGACTGGGATTCCATTAAAGTTCATGTATGTGTAAAGGTAGACATCCCAATACCTTTGGCAATATAGTGTAGATGCCTAGAGGCACCCAGTAACTGCCACTTTTTAGCTTTACTTGCCTGCATTCGATCCTCAACAACTCACATCCTGGATATTCTGCAGTGTCCACAAAAAAAAAACAAATTTTTACCTCAATCCAACTGATCTCATTGTTGAGATAATGAGAACTCCACGATTGTAGCCTGATTTATTGCACAGCAGTTGTGGCAAATAGCATCAAGGGAAGCTTGACACCCAATAAAAAGGAGCTTCTTTTGGGGCAAAAAGCTTCATGCAGTGCGATTTGACACGTGATAAAATCGCACAGAAATCATGGCAAAACCATACAATGTTTTAGGTGTTGAAAGGTGCAGCGCTAAAATCTATAATATATCAAATAATTGTCCAATAATAAAGCTAATAATATGTAGATCATAAAAAAGAAAGAAATTAATATGAAATATTAAATATAGCTGCAGTATCCCACAGGACCCAGAGGAGGGAGTTTTCCACTACAGGCTGTAAACACCCATCCATCGTTTAATGGGACCTCTGGCAGGAATAAATCCTTGTACATCCAGGAAACATCCGCAGGGCTGCATACCATTCAGAGGGAGGAGAATCCGTACCCGGCTTACCTCATCCATTCTATTCTTAAAGGGGACCTCTGGCTATACAATTTACATGCGTATTTAAAATACGCATCTGGTGAGTGCGTATTTTTACCACACCCTTTGGCACATCACTGAATTCTGGAGTAATCAACAATTTTTGAAGGGCACCTTAGCACGAACTGTCAATATATGAACATTCAATATTTCATATTAATTTCTTTTTTTATGATCTACATATTATTAGCTTTATTATTGGACAATTATTTGATATATTATAGATTTGGCGCTGCACTTTTCAGTTTCTTTATATGTTGAGGTTTTATCTGGTTACCTTAGTGTGCATTAGCGGCTATTTTTAAGCGCTCACTGATCTTATACCCATTTAAATGTTTTAGGTGTTATTGAAAATAATGGCACCTGAACCTACGTTTTGCGATTGTAGTGTGTTTTGAGATTGCGGACAGAATTGAAGTGATTCTGCCATGATCACAAAACACCCAAGTGTGAATGGAGCCTCATGGAGCGGACACTGGTGCTCGATTTGGCTGCTCAGCATGTGCTTGTACTGAGCACCCAAGTGCTTCAGCAGTGTGTGAGGGTAACTTGAAGGAATAGTTTTGTTTTTTTTTCTCATTGGGGTCAACACCTCATTTACTCACTCAGCAGATGTGCTTCTGCTGAGCTTTAAGAAAGCCAGACACTCCCCTTTCCTGACGAGCACCCAATCAGTGCTCATCACACTGCAAGGTCTCTCCCCACCCTGCTAGTCCCTAGGTGCGGTGCTGGAGAGAGGCATGAAGGTAAGTAGCAGATAAACAGTGCAATGGTAAAACCTTATTTAAATGTTTTTTGTTTTTTTATCAGGACAAGTAGATTATCATGAGGGACAAGTAGATTGGGGCCCAGATTTACTCCCTTGGACAAGTAGTTTTTTAAATATTTCCACACCCCTGGTAGTGATTTGATATCATGTGTTAGACTATAAAAACAGACTACAAAATATTAACACTATCAATACCTTTAATCTTTCCTTTAACGGCCTCTCGGAGGGCACCTCCAGCACAGAGGAATCCTGAGTGTCTGTACGGGTTACCGTTGCACCACGTAAAGTCTCCTTTGACCCTGCCCTCATCGCCATCACATGTTCTGAAAGTAAGTGATCATGGTCTACATTTGGGGTATCCAGCAGGATAAACACCAGGTCAAATCTTGATAGCAAAGCACTTCCCATTCTGCAGCAAAAAAGTATGTATATTGTTTTTTTTTTTTTTTTAAAAAAAAAACAATGTGGGGCAGTCTACATTATCAGCAGTGTTCTACTATCAAATATTATGCTGTGGTTTATGCACATGTATGACGAAAACATGTGTTACAATCTTTTGATAGAAAAGTAAATGGCCTTTTTCAACTCTTTTACAGCAAATGTCTACAGTTGTCAGAGATAAACCTCATTATAATGTCTAACCAATTATGCTTTCTAAAAATGGAAAACCGTTATGTCTCAGTGGTTTTGTCACATTTGTGTAGCACTCTCCTAGATAGGCTGCTAGGATGTCAGGTAAATTTAGTTCTTTTTGGCTCCTCTGTAATCATTGGAGCAGCTATTGATTTTTCTTTTAATGTTCTAGACCTCACAGGTTGCAGGTTTGACTGCTTCCCCCCTGCAATCTGAAGGTTTCTAGAACATAGGGCTGAGAGAGTCAATTGTGTAGCTTAAATATTTGTTGTGCTTCAGCTTATCCTTGGAGTAGTGTGTCCAGTAGGTGGATGGGGAGAACATAAATAAGTATGGGGTCTGAAGCAGCCCTGTTCTTGTGCTGCTTGAGAAGTTCCACATCCTCAGGGACTGAAGCCCCATTGGGGAAGTGTGACTGGAGTATTGTTAATGTTCATCAAGCTCCCAGCTGTGGCAGAGCTGGGGGGCCTATTACTAAGTATCTTTGGAGCCAGCTAAGTTATCTGGTCTGGCTTACAAAGGTAGAAGCTGGTGTATAGCTGTCCTGTGCAATTGTGAGTATTAAAGTGGAGCTCCACCCAAAAGGGGAAGTTCCACTTTAATGCCTCATCCCCCGCTCCCTGTTAAGGATTGGCCCCTTTGGGGAGCGAGTACCCGATTTTGACTCCCTCCCCTCCCCATAGTCTTCTGGAACACGTTGTAGATAGTGGAAATGGATTAGAACACCTGTTTTTATTTCTGTCTATGTACCCATTAGAGGGATTCAGTCTCTCTATTTGTCCTGCTTACCGCCATCATCGAAAGTGAAAGTAAAAGAAAATCCCAAATTTTGGGATGTCTGTAAAACAGTTATAGAGGGGAGGTCTTCCAATGGGGACACTAGTCCTGGTGACAACCAGGGATTAACTTCCTTGGGAGGGATTTCCTTTCAATTCTTGTTTTATGAGATAGGAAGTGAAGGGAAATCTCCTTTGGGACACAGATGGGAAAAAAAACCCAAAAAACAAAAAACACACAACCTGACAGGAGATACCCCATCCAAAATGAAAAAATAGTTTTTCCTTTAGTTCTACTTCATTGTACAATCTAACACTAGCCTATAGATGTCACTCTTAGCATAATCAACGTGTACAATGAACACAGAGCCAAGGTTTGTGAAACATGTTGTAAAATGCAGGAAGCTCAAAAGGGTTTGTCAGATGTAAAGTCACATTCAAATATATACGGGTATATGGTGAATATCACTTCATCATAAAACCATTAGTAATATTATTGTACCCCTATGATAAACTAGGTAAAGGGTAATGCTACGCCTGCAGCAGTTAATGTAGATATCAAGCCTAAGAGAGGAGTTCCAAGACCTAAAGCAGAGCTTAATCTAAAAAGGGAAGTTCCACTTTAAAGCCTCCTTCCCCACTCCTCTATCAGAAATGGGAGGGGGGGGGGGGGATGGTACCTGGTTTGGACACGTACCCGCTCCCAGTTTGGATCAGATTGCCTAGGCCAGTGGTGGGCAACCTTTTTTTTTTTTTCAACTGAGCCAAATCTTGCCAAAACCACGATTGAAATTTATTTTGAGAGCCACATTTTTAAAACTGAAAATACATAGGATGGTACACTGTTTTTAGTTTCAATAAGTTTTTATAGTAATTCATCCCCCATATAGTAATTCATCCCCCATAGTAATTCATCCCCCATAGTAATTCATCCCCCATATAGTAATTCATCCCCCATATAGTAATTCATCCCCCATATAGTAATTCATCCCCCATATAGTAATTCATCCCCCATATAGTAATTCATCCCCCATAGTAATTCATCCCCCATATAGTAATTCATCCCCCATAGTAATTCATCCCCCATATAGTAATTCATCCCCCATAGTAATTCATCCCCCATATAGTAATTCATCCCCCCTATAGTAATTCATCCCCCCTATAGTAATTCATCCCCCCTATAGTAATTCATCCCCCATATAGTAATTCATCCCCCCTATAGTAATTCATCCCCCATATAGTAATTCATCCCCCATAGTAATTCATCCCCCCTATAGTACTTCATCCCCCATATAGTAATTCAACCCCCATATTAATTCATTCCCCATATTAATTCATTCCTCACAGTACTATTCCCCCCCAAGTAGTAAGCCAAGTCCCCCCTGTGTCAATTCACTTACCTTTGCTCCGCGCGTTCCTCTCGCCGTGTTCCCGCGCCGTTCCGGTCTTCAGGGCGGACTGTGAGAGGAGCCTAGCTCCTCTCACGTTCGTCACGCTGCCCCGCCTACACACATCCTGACAGCCAATCACTGGCTATCAGAATGTGAGTGGCAGCGAGACTGGCCAATCATTGCATTTGAGCGCGCTGCCCTGGCTGTTTTTTTTTTGGATCACGCTGCAGAGTCCCTGCCGCCCGAGAGGAGGGAGGGGAGCGGGCGCGCCCGGCACACAAGAGCCGCATTAAAGCGTGTAAAGAGCCGCATGTGGCTCGCGAGCCGCGGCTTGCCGACCACTGGCCTAGGCGATCTGAGCGGACGCTCTCCTCTTTCCCTCCATACCCGCAGTCTTCTGGGGCATGTCACAGGTTCCAGAAGGCTGTGGGACCATTCACAATGTACAGCTCACCCATGTGCAGTGGGGACCTGGTTGTCAAGCTGCAAACTGTCACAGCCGGGTGCCCACAGTTAAGATGCTGGCGCCAAAAACTGAAGATGAGTGGAGAAAAGGGCTACACTGAGCACAGCGCTGGGTCCAGGGACCGGTACTGTATGTTTAATAAAAATCAGCAGCTAGTTTGTGTAGCTGCTGACTTAATTTTTTTACAAAAATGACTCCAACTCCACTTATAGCGGCCATTCTCACTTTGATTTCATTATCCGATCGATGTGCGATCCAATCAAAACGATCAAACCTGCGCACAATCTAACAGCCATAACTTCCCTTTTGACTGATTTAAATCAGATTCAATCAAACTGAGTAGACTAGCCATGGAGGAAAATTGACAATCGATTGTTCATGAATACAATTGTATTTTGATTGATCAGATTATGAAATTACATGGTGGAAACAGAGATGTGACTGATAAAGTCAATTGTAAATTATGATTGTATCTCAACTTTCAATTGATTCCATGTACCAATGTATGGACTACACATTGAATGGGTTGTTAATTAGAGATCAATTTTTCATAACAGAAGAGATCAATCGAACAAGAAATTGATCACTTATCAAAGTGTGTATGGCCACCATTAGGGTCAAGTGTGTGCATATCATTTTCTTAACAGCTGGCTTTAGCTGAAGGGAGGATTTTACACATTTTAACAGTCTACCGAGCAGGGCCCTCTGTTTTCTCTTGTACCAATTTGTATTGTAACTGCAATGTCCACTTTCATCTTGTAAAAGTGCTGAGCAAACTGTTGGCGCTTTATAAATCCTGTGTAACAATACAATAATCATTAGCAGGCACACAGGTTGTGAAGGAGGGGGGGTGTGACCAGGGGCAGACTGACCATTTGGAAACTCGGGCACTGCCCGAGGGCCCGGGGTCAGTAGGGGGCCCCATGAGATGCCCCTAGTACAGCAATGGGCAAACTACGGCCCGGCGGACCTTTTAATCCGGCCCGCGGAGCGTGATGCTGTCAGGATGTGTGTAGGCGGGGCAGCGTGACGAACGTGAGGGGAGCTAGGCTCCTCTCACAGTCCGCCCTGAAGACCGGAACGGCGCGGGAACACGGCAAGAGGAACGCGCGGAGCAAAGGTAAGTGAATTGACACAGGGGGACTTGGCTTACTACTTGTAACTAATATGGGGGATGAATTAATATGGGGAATGAATTACTATGGGGGATGAATTACTATATGGGGGATGAATTACTATGGGGGATGAATTACTATGGGGGATGAATTACTATGGGGGATGAATTACTATATGGGGGATTAATTACTATGGGGGAATATTACTATATGGGGGATTAATTACTATGGGGGATGAATTACTATGGGGGATGAATTACTATATGGGGGATTAATTACTATACTTACTATGGATGACACATACACATCATTCATCTACTCTTGGTCCGGCCCCCCAGGTCCAATATATGAACCCATTGCAGCCCTCAAGTCAAAAAGTTTGCCCACCCCTGCCCTAGTAACCTTTTTCATAGGCTTTTTTAAGTTTGGGCAAGGACACGGGGGCCCCATGAGTTGTCAGTCCGCCCCTGGGTGTGGCAGACCAATGCATACTGGCATTAATTGACACTTATGCAGGCCACACAAGGGTCAAAGTCCAAACAAATTTTCTCTTTGAAAATCATAAATAAGAAATTTCTTTCAAAATTTTGCACCATTAGTGGGCCACAGCATCGGCCGATTTTCATGAGGGCATCAAATTTGAGTGATCGGGCATGTGGGAAATGTTTTTAAAAAACTAACAAATTTCTAATCAATGATGGAAGAATCGTGCGAGAAATTTAATCGAAAAAGAAATGAGCATGAGCTGTGACCTGGAAAGAATAGAAGATTACCAGCCATGAAAATTCTTTTCTTTAGCAACATGGCGTGAAGTTGAAGGCTTGGTTGGTCAAATTTCAAAATCAATGGTCGCATCATCGGAATACAAAAACGCACAAAATTTTCGGTTTTCTAAAGGATATTCGTTCAGAATTCCACCCCTGTATGGCCTGCCTTATACCTGGGAAAGTGCTCAGATTAAATTAGGTTTAACCCATAGTACAAGCTATGCCCATTTCAGAATTCCACTAGCTTTGTGTAATCAGCTGTCTGAAAAGAAGTGAGAATTTAATGGATGTATGCTATGGAGGATGGGTCAAGGCAATGGCAAGGAGGGCTTAAAATAAATCTCATGAGAGAGAAATAGCGAGGACCAGAGAGGTGCGGGAGTTGTTAAAAAAAAAAAAAAAAAAAAAAAAAGCGCAACCCTCCACTGGATCAAATTCAAAATCCTAACACTGACGTACAAAGCCGTCCACCACACTGCCCCGAACTACATCACTGACCTAATATCCAAGTACCGCCCACACGCACACTCCGCTCCTCACAAGACCTCCTTCTCTCTAGTTCCCTGGTCTCCTCCTCCCATGCCCGCCTCCAGGACTTCTTCAGGGTGTCACCCATCCTCTGGAACTCCCTGCCCCAACCCATCAGATTATCACCTACTCTCCTCTCCTTTAGGCGCACCCTGAAAACCCATCTCTTCAGGGAAGCCTACCCCACCCCCTGCTAACTTGCCGACCTCCTCCACTCTTCCTACCACCCCATCCCCCACAGCTATCTCCTCCTGTACCACCATCCCCTCCCTCCTAGATTGTAAGCTCGAAAGAGCAGGGCCCTTGATCCCCTCATGTTTTGCATTGTATTGGTATTGTTCTGTCACATGTTTCTGTCCCCCTCTGTAATGTACAGCGCTGAGCGAACTATTGGCGCTTTATAAATACTGTATAATATTAATAATAATAATGGAGAATGATAAGAAATGGCCTTTTTACTATTTTTAATGCTGTATGTGTCACTATTGGGAGGATTTCCCATCACTTCCTATAGAAACTTGGCATTTCTCTCTCCTCTCCCCTGCAGTCACCGTGGATACAGAACACAGGGAATCATGTATCTGGGGTTATTTCCCTTCACTTCCTGTCCCATAGCCAAAACAGGAAGCGAGAGAAAATCAATCCAAAGTGAGAATCTTGGGGTGTCGCTAGTACCAGTGTTCCCACTGGAAGATTTTTCCTCTATTATTGTTCTGATATCAACCCAAAATTTGGGATATTCTTTTACTTTCATTTTCGATGATAAAAGTAAAACAGGACAAACAGAGAGGGTGAATCTCATAAAAGGGAGCACAGACAGCAATAATAACGGACATGGGTTCTAAACCCTCTCGAAGATATAATACATGTCCTCGGCCTTTTTCTTTAGGCTTCTTATAATTTAAAATTAGACCACCAGATACTCAGCATTTGCAGAGTATTTACTGATAGCCATATCAAAAGGTACCTTAGAACCTCAATGTGGCACCCAAACCACTGGTTGGTAGAGAGTAACATGTATATTTGGCAAGTATCAAAGAGAAAGTACAGTATTGACACAACATAAAACTAAAGCTTTATGTGAAGATATTAACATCTACAACTTTGGTGACATCAAAATATTTAAAAATACTATCTAAAAAGTCACAGCAGGAAACCCGTCATGAGATAAACACCTAAAATCATCAATAATTATCACTAAAAACTTTGGACTGTTGGACATTTGTTTGGTGTTCTCATTGTATGAAAGATAAATACATTACCTTCCAGTTTTGACTACCTGAAATTGCCGTTTCCTTGGCCGTCATGCCAATTGTTTGGCTTCCTCAGTCAGGGCTACTGAAAATCAGGGGTTCTAAACTTACCAGCTAAGATTTGTTGCAGGCCAGCGAGTACTTACTTCAAATTTTCAGAGACAGTTTTGCCTTTGTTGTAGTGCCCACCCACTGGGTTAGCAGCAGCAATGATGGATGTCCTGGCAGGTAAGGTGCACACTATCCCAGCCTTGGCAAGACTAATACTCTGTTGTTCCATAGCTTCTAGTAGAGCCTGATGCTGATTACCCATCTTGTCAAATTCATCAATTCCACATATACCTGAATATTAAACAGCATAATAAAGGAAGTTAGGAATTGTAAAGGTTTAAATTTTATTCTTTAAAATAACAAACATATCATGCTTACCTGTTCTGTGCAGTGGATTTGCAAAGAGCAGCCCAATTCATCTTATTCTTGGGTTCCCCTGCCTGAGATCTTTGATACGGGAGGGCACTCGTGCGAGCTCGCTCCTGGGCCAGCTCTGTGTGTTCATAAGACACACAGATTGGCCCAGGCCCCGCCCCCTCCTCAGTGGCTGCATCTGAGCCAATGGCTCCCGCTTCTGTGTCCAAGCCAATGAGAAGACAGAAAGCCAAGAGCCTCTAGTCCAGGGGTGGGCAAACTTTTTGACTTGAGGGCCGCAATGGGTTCATATATTGGACCCGGGGGCCGGACCAAGAGTAGATGAATGATGTGTCATCCATAGTAAGTATAGTAATATTCCCCCATAGTAAGCATAGTAATTAATCCCCCATATAGTAATTCATCCCCCATAGTAATTCATCCCCCATATAGTAATTCATCCCCCATAGTAATTCATCCCCCATATAGTAATTCATCCCCCATAGTAATTCATCCCCCATAGTAATTAATCCCCCATATAGTAATTCATCCCCCATAGTAATTCATCCCCCATATAGTAATTCATCCCCCATATAGTATTTCATCCCCCATAGTAATTCATCCCCCATATAGTAATTCATCCCCCATAGTAATTAATCCCCCATATAGTAATTCATCCCCCATATAGTAATTCATCCTCCCATATAGTAATTCATCCCCCATAGTAATTCATCCCCCATATAGTAATTCATCCCCCATATAGTATGTCATCCCCCATAGTAATTTTATCCCCCCCCCAAGTAGTAATTCATCCCCCAATTTACTTACCTTTGCATCCCCGTTCCTCTAGCCGTGTTCCCCCATATTCCGTAATTCATTCCGGATATTAATTCATCCCTCATGAGAGTAGCCATCCCTCTCATATTCGTCACGCTCCCCCCCAAGTAGTAAGCCAAGTCCCCCCTGACAGCCAATTTACTTACTTTGCTCCGCGCGTTCCTCTGCCGTGTTCCAGCGAGACTGTGAGCTCATTGCACGTTGAGCGCGCTGCCCCGCCTACACACATCCTGACAGCCAATGTATCACGCTCCGCGGGCCGGATTAAAAGGTCCGCCGGGCCGTAGTTTGCCCATTGCTGCTCTAGTCTCATGCGCATTGCTGGACTGAAATCAGGGTCAGTAAAGTATAAGGGGAGGCTGACAGGTAAAGTGCATGCAGAAGGGTTTTTACCTCAATGCAATAAATTCATCAAGGTAAAAATCGTTCTGCCTTTAGAACCACTTTAAATCAGGGAGCTTAAAATGGCTAAAAAGTATTGCTCATGGTAAGCAATTGCCTGCTTTCATTTTTGGGTTTTCTAGCAGAGAAGCTGACCACATCAGATCTAAAAAGAAAAAGCCAGAAGCTCTGATATTTTAAGGATTATGTATTAAATCCGGGAAGTGGAAAAGTTGCCAAAAAGGAAAGCAGCTTCTTGTTTCACTTTCCCGGCAAATGAAAATGTAATCTAATTGGTGGCAGAGGGCAGCAGTTCCACTTTTGTTGCAGGTTTAAGTACACATATGAAAGAAAAATAGGCTTTTTGCACTCACCGTAAAAAAATCCTTTTTTTGGGGTCTATTTAGGGACACAGGAAGTTGTTAAACATCGGGGTATACTGCCCCCTACAGGAGACTTGGATGTCGGCAAACGAAAACTGTAGACCAGCCCAGGATCACCCCTCCTACCAGCATACATCACACTTTGTGAGCACAATCATACAGTGGGATCAGGGACCATTGTCACAAACTGGTAGTGAAGGAGCTCTAAAGCAAAGTGTAGATATTAGGGATGCACCGATACTCTTTTTTTAATCGTTGAGTACAAGTACCAATACTTTCGGTCAAGTAATCGCCAATACAGAGTACCGATACTTTGCAGTGCGATTTGCGTCAATACAAAATGTATGGAAGCAATTTACACCACAAAGAATAGCATGCGATTTGAAAAGGAATGTGATTCCTGTCCAAATCGCATGCGGTTTTCCCCACTACTCCTGTGAACTCAGGCTTGCTGTAGCTTGAGTTCACACAGGGGCGGTGTGGGAAACCTCCCTGCACTGATGAACAAAATCGCACTGAAAACTGCAGAATTTCTGAATGAAGATATAGAGGAGTTCTGAGACCCAATCCTTTTATAAAGTGGTTGTAAAGTCTCAAGGTTTTTTACCTACATGAATTCTATGCATGAAGGTAAAAAACCTGTGTGCAGCAGCCCCCCCCCAGCCTCCCCAATAGCATCCGAGATCCATCTCGATCCAGCGATGCGATGTGCCAGTCCAGGTCTCTCCTTCCTCACTGACTGAGACAGCAGCAGGAGCCATTGGCTCCTGCCAATCACAGCCAGTGAGCCAATGAGGAGAGAGCAGGGGAAGGGTTGAGCTGCATGTGTGTGTGAATGGACACACAGATCAGTGGCTCGGGAGCAAGCCTGCTCGGGTGTCCCCATAGCAAACTGCTTGCTGTGGGGGCACTTGGTAGGAGGGAGTGGCCAGAAGCGCTGGTGCGGGGACCCGAGAAAAGGAGGATCAGGGCTGCTCTATGAAAAACCATTTGCATAGAGCAGGTAAGTATGACAGGTTTGTAATTTAAAGAAAAAAATCTTCCTTTACAATCACTTTAAGGAATTTTGACCAATCAGACATGGTTTGACAAATTAAAGTTATAGCCAAAATCAAGTGAAAGGCAGGAACTGCCAGAGAGTAGAGGGCTTTTCTTTTAGAAAGAGTTTCCAACCACTTATTGGTTGGGTCTTTGAAGACAGTTGCATCTTCCACTGGTATACTATAGTATCTTGTTAAGATATATAAGGCTAATAAACGTTACGTTTGAGGGAACAAATACCTTATCAGGATGTGACTCAGAAAAAATAGGCAAATAACTCTTTCGATTTGGGCCATAAAGTCTTGGATGACCATGGTAAAGACCCTAAGCAAAAGGGATTACCCAGCCCCATCCACACCTGATGGAGCTGCAGAGGACTCCAGACACTAATGCAGGCCATACATGGTTCGAATTCCGAACAATTTTTCGTCCGAAAATCGAAACGTCGTTCGTTCTGTAATCCGATGGTGCCACCAATGACAGTCGTTTTTCACAAATTTTTCAGCATGCCCGATAAACGAAATGGGGAAGAACCACGAAAATCGGCCGATGCCATTGCCCCACTAACAGAGCGAAAATCGGCTGATTATGCTTAGGTCCGATTTTCGTACGAAAATCGTTCGGAATTTGAACCATGTATGGCCTGCATAAAACTAAAGCAACATGACTCCAGGCTGCAGATGTCAGCACTAATAATAGGTGTACTAAAAGCAGCCCCGGAGCCGACCAAAGTCTCTGTAGGCAGGCAGCAGGAACTGATCCTACATAAGGGGTCTCTAATCACTGAATGGGGTATAAAGGCTCCCAACGACTTATACAAATATTGTAACCGCTGGTGCTCAGCCCTACTGGCCCACTCACCGAATCTTCAGAAATAGGGAAAATCCTAAGAGAATAAAAAATATGCTAACAAAACCGGTAGTAGAAATGGTTACCCTGGGCTGGCCCACAGTTTTTATGTTCGCTAGTGTCCAATCCTCTTGTAGGCGGCAGTGTAACCACAAGGTTAAAAATAACTAATTATTCTTCTGTGCTTACAAGACAATATGGAAATAAAAGAATGCAAATGCTATTATGGTACAATTTGATCAGTTTTCTGAATCATTCCTTGTGTAAGGAGCTTTCGACAAGTTTTGAATTTTGGAAGCAATGTGTGTGTTACAATATACAAGATGTACATGACAATAACACTTCTTATACCTTGGTCTCCCAAAACAAGAGCTCCAGCTTCCAAGGCAAAATCTCCTGTTGCACTGTCCCTGGATAGGGTTACTGTCAATCCAGCCGTTGTAGTCGTGTTTCCACAAACATAGATGCCACGAGGGGCCACATTACAAACTGCCTGCAACATCATAATATACGAATCATAAAGCTCTTTATTTGGAAATTAATTTAAAGCACATGTATCAAAACAAACATCCCTAGCATTTTTCTACAAAGCCTTTTCATAAAAAACAGTGCATGATCACGTTATCCATACCTGTAACATCTGACTTTTTCCCAGTCCAGGATCTCCAACCACAAGTATGTGAGGATCTCCACGAATGGGAATTCTGTTTTTATCATCCACATATTTTTGACAGCCTCCAAATAGAGCAAGTGATAACCCAGCTTTAACAACCTGTCAAGCAAAACAAATGAATAACACAAAGCTTTCACCATATACTGTAAGTATCTATTACCAAAGATGTTAGAAACGTATAAAGCTTTGCAAACTTACTCCCAGCTTAGTGGAGGTTTCCTCTATGAGCCCTGGTTCACATATATGTGGTGCAATTTTGATGACCATTTTGAGTGTGATTTTGTTCGGTGGGGCAGGTGCAATTTTGATATGTAAATAATAATAGAAGTGCAGCGCTATGAAATCATAAGATTATATACACAACTGATGAATACATAAAGTGCCCAGTGCATGTGAAATCCAAGGAATAATAGGTGAAATAAAATGATATATAAAAACGGACTGGTGTGTGATTACAATGAATAAATAAATAATAAATGAATGTCCCATAAAAGTGGAAATAGTCCTTAAATGTGGAGTATCTTATGCTGAGGTGAGGAATTCTGTATTCCAATATAACATATAATTCTTATAAGAGATGATTCGGTGAAGTGCGGAAGGTGGTAAAAATGCACACTCACCAGATGCGCATTTAAAATGCGTAGTGTATACAATATGATGAAGTCTGCCAGAGGTCCCCTTTAAGTTTGGATGGATGTGGAGCCTGGTAAGGATATCCCTCCTCTGGATACTGGGGGTGCTTATGGCCTAATGTCACCCGGGATTCTGCAAATTTAATAGCTCGGTACAGAGCCAGAAAGAAGGGTGCCCATAGTGTAGTAATGTTATAGTAATTTATTGATTAAAAGACATGTCATCATGCACGAGATAGCATATAGTTAGCACATCTTGCTGACAAAAAGCACTGACCAGCTGGGATCAAAGATAGCCGCTGGACCTCCGTGATCCGGCGGCGTGACATCATGGCGTGCTGCTCCTCCTTAACACGTTTCGTACCACGTACGTTTTCAAAAGGGGTGTGCCATTCTGATCTGAACTGTCAAATGTAAAATAGCTGGAAAACGCACCCACACTGCACTGAAAAATCGCACAAGACCCTTTTCAAAATTGAACTGCGGCTAGACTGCATGTATGTGACTGGCCTCCGCAGAAAAGTATGCTATTTGGTCATGCAGTGTTAAATTCGTAGAAGAAAATATTTTCGTCGACTAAAGTAACACGATTTTAGTCAGCTAAAATTCAACTAAAACAATTCAGATGACTAAAATACGACTAAAACCAAAAAAATGGCATTTTAGTCAAAAGACTGATTAAAACTAAATTGAAATTTGACTCTGCACTACCACATAAGAATAAGTAGGGGGAATCTACTAAGCTACTGAAAGAAAAAAAAAAGAAAAAAAAGGCTCTTAATTTTGTTCATAATATTTAATGTTGGTAATATATTCAGGTAATATGTGCAATTGCATTACAGCCAACAGAGTTCACAGGTTTTTTTTTTTTTTTATTTTAGTTGCACTTCTGTTTGCCAAAAAGCAATATTATATATATTATGACGATATAAATCACAATGGCTAAATCTGTGTCTGTAGTGTATGTTCAAACCAATACCATAAATAATAACATGTTATTCGATTTTTACTCCAGGAGTATAGAATGAGTTTGGAACTTCTAGAGAGATTATTCAATATTGCATTACAATTTAACTTAACTCATTAAATTGTAGTCGACTAAATACAACTAAAACAATTCAGATGGCTAAAATGCAACTAAAATGGCATTTCGGTCAAAAGACTGACTAAAACTAAATTTTGCATATATGTGAACCAGGGCTGGATAAGGAAGTGACAAACCTTTTTTTTTTTTTTAAATCAAATGCTTGTTGTATTTTGACACACACTACAACTGTACAGTATTCTCAATTTAAAACAATTATTTAATATCTGGGCATCGTGGCGAGATTTCACCTATATAAACAAAGGTTACTATGACAAGTTTGAGCTTATACACATTATTATTATTATTCAGGATTTATATATTATTATTATTATAAAGGATTTATATATTATTATTCAGGATTTATATATTATTATTATTATTATTATACAGGATTTATATATCATTATTATTCAGGATTTATATATTATTATTATACAGGATTTATAGATTGTTATTATTATACAGGATTTATATATTATTATTATTATACAGGATTTATATATTATTATTATTATTCAGGATTTATATTATTATTATTATTATTATTATACAGGATTTATATATTATTATTATACAGGATTTATATATCATTATTATTCAGGATTTATATATTATTATTATACAGGATTTATAGATTGTTATTATTATACAGGATTTATATATTATTATTATACAGGATTTATATATTATTATTATACAGGATTTATTATTATACAGGATTTATATATTATTATTATACAGGATTTATATATTATTATTATTATTATACAGGATTTATATATTATTATTATTATACAGGATTTATATAGCGCCAACAGTTTGCTCAGCACTTTACAATATAACAGGAGACAATACAGCAACAATACACTCCAATACAAGAGGGTTAGTAGGGCCCTGCTCCTGGGAGCTTACAATCTAATGGGGGGGGGGGGGGGGGGTGGAACAAAAGGTAATAACTCTGATGGCTGAACTGATGGGAGAAATAGAAGATTCAGTTATTAGCTGAAGGAAAGATAGGCTTCCCTGGAGAAATAGGTTTTCAGAAATTGCCTAAAAGTGGACAGAGTAGGAGATAGTTGGACAGATTGGGTTAAAGAGTTCCAGAGGATGGGAGAGGCTCTGGAGAAGTCCTGGAGATGAGCATGAGAGGAGACAAAGGAGCCAGAGAGCAGGAGGTCTTGGGAGAAGCAGAGAGGATGGTTTGGATGATAGTTGGAGACATGATTGGTGATGTAGTTTGGGACTGAGTTGTAAATGGCTTTATAGGTTATTGTTAATGTTTTTATTCATTGGGCAATGGGAAACGTAGAGGGATTGGCTGAGAGGGGTGGCAGACATGTTACCAGTTGGTAAGGTGGATGAGTCTGGCAGAAGCATTCTTCATACACTGAAGAGGGGATAGCCTGCGATTAGATAGGCCAATGAGGAGGGAGTTACAATAGTCAAGGCAAGAGATAAAAACAGAGTGAATAAGCCACTTAGAGGTTTCAATGGTTAAAAAGGACGTATTTTGGAGATGTTATGGAGGTTAAATCTACAACATTTGGAGACATAAATTTTATTCCCATACTGCCTATATTAGGATTGTTGTACTAGGGACAAGCCAAGGTGCTTTTTGCTCTATCCTTTTCTTGGGGGGGGAGGTTTTCTTGTCCCCCCCCCCCCCCCCTCCGTTTTTTTCCTTCTCTAGCCTTTCCCTATTCGTCCTAATGAGCTTCTAAATTCTTTTAGGGCTTCTTTAGGTCCCAGTCATAGGTTCCCTTTCCGGCTCTTGCCTGTTTCAACTTATGATGGCCTCATTATTTACTGTGCTAAGGCTGCACCTATATATGCTTTCCTACGATGGTCTATTTTTCTAGGGCTACCTTATGTGTTATATGTTTTTGGAAGCTTTGTTCTACTATGCATCAGGTCGCCTAATTACGTTTTATGCTTTTCATACTTTGAAATTGTACAATTAAAGGCTTAAACAAAAAAAAAAAAAATACAAAGCTCCCTCTGACTGGCTGAGCAGAGCTCAGCCTGACTCCAACTTGTTCCGGGAGCAGAATAGGAAGTCCTCGCCCTGCTGCTGGAACACAGCGCTGCATACTGTATACTGTATACTGAGGCTATATACAGTTTATACTGTGCTGACAGCTGCTGCATCTGTTAGTGAAGCAAATAGTCAATTTGGACCAGCTTGGTCTAAACCAGGGGTAGGCAACCTGCGGCTCTCCGGTTGTTGCAGGACTACAAGTCCCATCATGCCTCTGCAAGTCATAGCTGTAACTGTCAGTTTTGTAATGTTGCAATGCCTCATAGGAAATGTAGTTCCACAACAGCTAGAGAGCCGTAGTTTGCCTACCCCTGGTCTAAACAAACAAATTAAAATATATGTAAATCCTCCCCAACCCATTCAGTTTAACCTTTTTAGCTGCCAGAGCTGCTCTTGCATTTTTTGCACACATTTTAAAAATTGTTTTAGGCCAAAAGGTTATAGAAAACCCCCAAAACATTATACATTTACTGAAAGCAGACACCCTATAGAATAAAATAGTGGTAGCACCAATTTTTAATGTCGCACAGTACTACAGTAAAGGTCTAGGAAACACAAAATTTCAGTAAAAAACACACTAAAGTGAATTTTAGGGCAAACGCAATAAAAATTAGCCAAAATGTTGGTAAAATATAAAAAAATGAGATTGCACCGAGTACATAGATACTCAACATGTCAAACCTTAAATGCGCCCGTGAAATGGAAACAAACTTCAGTACCCTATATTTTCTATAGGCGATGCTTCAATAGCCCCCTATAGGTCATCAGTTTGGTGTTACAGAGGAGGTCTTGTGCTAGAATTATTGCTCTCACTCCAGTGTGCGCAGCAATATGTAACGTGTATAGTAATCAACGTTTTCATGCATAGGCACCCCCCGACCCGTGTGTTTAGGTTCATAAACTTTATTGCTTAACTGTTTTTTTTTTCACCACATAGGGGACAAATAGTCCCCCATGTGATAAATATTTGTTGACAGGTTCTCTTTAATGAGACTCTAAAAGACCCTGCATGTCTCCTCTGGGCTCCACAGAATGTATTGCAATGCAGAACGAGCTTAGAGAGCTGGTGGGAGGAGAAGCAGCAGAACACTGATTCTCCCAATGAATGGCTGTGCGGGGGGGGCGTGTCTGATCAAGTCTGATCAGTGGAGGACAGCAGGCTGTGTTCTCAGCACAGCCAGCAAACTGACCACGCTGTGCTCTCATGCCTATTGTGGTCAGTTTATAATAGGAAAGCAGAGGGACTGGCAGGGATACCAGGGAATTCACACAAAGGAAGCGATACAAAGAGAACAGGAAACTTTTTCATACAAGTACATGGTACAGTAGACACTTATCAGTAGACACTTATCAGGAATATGAAATGTTGGATATACACATGCTTTACGTTAAAGGAAACTTGGAGAATCAGTTTAAAATTTTTTACAGGTCATATTCAATTCCTTTTTATAGCCAGCCTCAGGTATAATGAACAACCACAAGGTAAGCAATACTAGCATAGGGGAAAGCAGAACCCTCTCAGTGTTGTCACAAATAAGGGTTTAAATCAGGTTTACTTTACCCTGAAAAACGCATGTTAATCAAGCAAATGGCATGCAGAAGAATACCAATTGGTTCATTTGTATTATTATTTTTTAAATTCAAATGGTTGTATGAATTTTCAGTTTATACATACAATGCTTGCTGGCCAGAACATTTAATAGCTGTCAATTCCTCTGGAAAAAACAATTTGGCCTTGACTGAATCTGACAATAGAGATGTTAGTCACAACACACAGTTATTAATGAACATGAATTTATTCTTGTGATCATCTAGAAGCGTAGGCAACCCTTTAGAGACAAAGCATACAATATTTAAATGTCCTAGCCGCTGCAGTACGAGTTTGATAGTGTTTGTTACAGTACGAGTTTATAGTGTTAATGTAAATTGTTGATTGCGGCTCACCTCATGTCCATTTATCATGGGGCAAAGACAGAGCTAAAACGTCTTGCTCCCTTTTTAACATAAACCTGTTACTCCCCACAAAAGCTAATTTTAAGTTAATCATTCAGATTTTTGACGTATGTTTGGGGTGTCCTGCTGACAACGAAAACCCAGCTTTCTGAACATTGTGTATTAATTCATATTTTCGTAAAATAGATGATGTTCAGTTTCCCAACTTGTAAAAACTGTGTTAGTTCCCCTTTGAAACCCCCACTCTTCTCCCTCTTCTCTGTGCAGCGCTTCTGGGATGGACCAGACTGATTGTGATTGGTCAGCCCCTGCACAGTGAATCACTCTAGTTTGTCCTGGAAGCGCAACACAGAGAAGAGGGGACTGTGCAGGAAATATGGCGAACACGTATGGGCGAAAACCCCAATGCAAGGAAGCATTGGCATTTACATGAATACATTCACGTACAGTCATTCACTTGTAAGCATGCAGCTCCCCATGCGCTGGAAAGTGCAGGAAATTTGCACTAGATATAAAAAATGCCGCTACCTGTCCATGTACACGAACCCCATCCGTCCACGAACCAGGTTAAACAGTGCCAACACCCTAAAAAGAACACTAAACTTGCATTTTACAAGGGAATGGCCACATGCAGAGCTGCCACCAATGAAATACTAAAGACATTCTACACTTTCAAATATTTTTTGTTGTTTTTATCTCAGTATTCATGCAGTTGTATTCTTTGTGTTGTTTGCCTTACCTTGTGGTAATGGTCTCATATGTTGTGGCTGCAGTTTGTAGTGTCAAGGCTGCTCAATTCCCCTATGTCCATGTATTCATTCACCTAGCTTGTCCCTTTTTGCCAAAAGGGACAAGAGAACTTTCTGTTCCAGGTCACACTACGCCTAATGCATGCCTTGCCATCTGTGTCACATCACAAATATGAGAGCACAAATGTAATAAAAATGTTAAAAAAACAACATCTTTCAGAGGCACCGGTGAGCTTTCTGTGTGTCTGTGAATGCTCTGTCTGTTTGTGTCTGTGTCAGATCTAATTACTGGGAAGCTCTCAACTGGACCAGTGCAAGACTGAGAGACCCGGGGATTGTGGGATATGTAGTTTATTCACAGGACTTGTCAGTTCTCAGACTACAGACAGAGGTCATGCTTTACCCTTGCAGTGCCATGCCTCATGTTTGAACCCAAACAAACTACTGACACTGGAATGTGAAGGTTTCTGAAATGAAGATTTAAACGACACCATGAAACTACATGATAAATGCACATCTTATGCAGGTGAAGAACACAAGCAGGAAGGTTTACAATGCCTTTGACTGCTTTTTAGGGAGTATTTCACATTCTGTTTTGAATTGTATTTAAAATACATAATAGTCTGTCAAGTCATTATGAAAATTTCAATAAGTAAATGACAGAAAGTTAAAATGCAATTGTTAAAAAAGAAATGTTAATAAGTTAACACTGCCAGACAAAATTCTGCTCGGTAAAGTCAATGCCTAGCGATTGGGTTAATGGACACACAAATCATTAATGTCAACTCACAAGGAGCCATAATGGCAGCAATATGCAGTTTATACTTACTTGACTATTAATTTGAAGAGACTCTCCTGTGCTTGGATCTCTTGAATAGCATACAGGTCTTTCAGAGAAAAATCCATAGCTGCCCCATGTCTACTGCTCTCCTCTGTGTCTTTAGCTTTTTGGCCTTTGCTGTTACTGACTGAATTTGCCTCGATGTACAGCAGGAACATGCATTTATTGTTTTTATTTTTAAACCCTCCTATGCAAAAGGAAAGAAAAATCGGAGTGAAAACATTTCTGTGAATGGCTTACCTTAAAAGAGAAGTAGGGGTTATGGATTTATTCCCATATCATACTTACCTAGGTGGATGCAGCATCGGCCTGATGCTGCATTTGTCCCCCGCTGGCTCTAAGTATGAGAACTCAGTGATCAAATAACTGCAAATCGCTGAGTCCTCGCAGCCGCCCTGAGCGGTGACTGCCAGTCACGAATGCAAATGTACAATCCAAACGCACACGTTCCTGTGTTAAAAATGGCTGTGTGTATAAGTGGGTGCTGCAGCGACCGTCGGCTGGAACCGAACAGAATCGGCAAGAGAGAATGTCACCAGCACACCGAGGATCACCAATAAGGGTCCAAAAAGTTTTAATGAACGATCACATAGGTACAGCAAGGCGACGTTTCGGAGTCTCGCAGGACCCCTTCATCAGGCATGTGACCACATGTAATAAGTTTTAATGAACGATCACATAGGTACAGCAAGGCAATGTTTCGGAGTCTCGTAGGACCCCTTCATCAGGCATGTGACCACATGTAATAAGTTTTAATGAACGATCACATAGGTACAGCAAGACAATGTTTCGGAGTCTCGCAGGACCCCTTCATCAGGCATGTGACCACATGTAATAAGTTTTAATAAACGATCACATAGTTACAGCAAGGCAACGTTTTGGAGTCTCGCAGGATCCCTTCATCAGGCATGTGACCACATGTCACATGCCTGATGAAGGGGTCCTGCGAGACTCCAAAACGTTGCCTTGCTGTAACTATGTGATCGTTCATTAAAACTTTTTGGACCCGTATTGGTGATCCTCGGTGTGCTGTGACATTCTCCCTTGTCAGTCACGGCTGTCTGCTCTGCCTCCCCAGCACTCACTGGAGCGCTGGGCTGTGGAGGGGGAGGGAGCAGGTGGCTCAGGCTCTCAGAGGATTGCTGAGAGTCTGAGCTAGGTGCCGCTTCAGACTCTGGGGTGGATCCCGACTTTAAAGTCAGGATTGATCCCCAGCCTGGACTCGCTGAGTGACGTCAGCCAACAGCAGGCTTCATCCCGCTGTCGGCTAAAAATGGGTCACATAGGGCAGATTCCAAGACTGCTGATAATACATATAGGTAGGATTCTGCTTATTCTTCCTTGTAGCTGTATTCATTTCCATTATATGCATTAAACAAATGAATCTGACGCTTTTTAATATTATGTTAAGTAATAGAGGCTGGTATTCTCCCTTAAAAGTAACATTACTTTGGAATCTAATTGTTTGATTGCTCCTGAGGACAGGTGTCTTTTATACAGTATATAATGAGATTAGCAGCACTCCCTTTAACCTCCTTAGCGGTTTTCCCGAGTGTAGCTCGGGGTAAAATTTCAATACCAAGAGCGGTAACCCCGAGCTACACTCGGGCTTACCATGCGGCGTTACTCTGGGGGTCCCTGCAGCGCTTACCTTGTCCTTCGCTCCCGCGATGTGTCCCCTGCAGCGTCTCCTCCGCCCGATGCCGGCATCCGGCTTCCATGTTCCGGTCCCTGTGACGTCGGGACGTACGGGCGCCTGAACGGCGGGAAATTTGAAATTTTTAAAAAATGTCATTTTTGCTGTCATTGCTGTTTCAATGCATTTCTCATACATTTTGTCCCGAGTGCTTTGTCCTGTGTCCTGCCTGCATTTTGACTGTTCTTTCTGCCTGGAAACTTAGAAAAGTCCATGGCGTCCAAAAAGCGTCCCTTTACATCAAAAGCGGTTTTAGACCGGCTAGAGAACAGCGATAGTAAATCAGAACCACTTGCAGAATTGAGTGATAATGATTCGTGGGGGAAATTCGTCATCAGACACTGAAAACGATTTTGCGACTTTGCTCAGCGATGTGCGAATTTGCCTCTGTATTTCACATTTCAGTGTTTTTGGTTTAATTATATTATTGAATTAAATTTATTATTATATTATTATTTTTTATGATTATTTATTAAATTATATTTTATGATTTAGTGTTTCAAGTTTTATCATATCCGGGATGTTTACTAGACTCTTGTTCGGACAGATTTCAGTGAGTTATTCCTAAAAATTACAGCCTACAATAAAAAACTACATATTTCCATGCAAAAAAATGGTACCGCTTTCAGCACAAAAAATCGGAAAGAATCATACCGCCAGGGAGGTTAAGAGACTGCTTCTAATCTCAGTTTGTTACCTGTATGAAAGACACCTGGTAGCCAGAAATCCTGCTGAATGATAGGGGATCAAATACTTATTTCCCTCATGAACATGCAGATCAGTCATCATTTGTTAGACATGCATTTCTTTAGAAATTTTTTGTTGCTATTCTCTCTCTCAGTGTTACAATACACATACCATTTGATTTTTAGACCGATCATTTCTTTGTGAGTGGGCAAACATTCAAAATCAGCAGGGGATCAAATACTTATTTCCTTCACTGTACAGCTCATGACATGTTTCACAAATCTGACACTACCTGAGCCTGCTGGCAACACTTCCAGTTAATGACTGAATATGACAATATCTGGACTCTTGCTTGCTTATCTGATGGAAAAGCCCTTTATCTGTTGTGTACTCTCTAATGTACTGTATGTTCTGGTGCTCTGTGGCGTGTTGGGACTCCTGATTTCTGAGATGTGGATCACTGATTTATTAGAACTGACTACTGGAAGTGTAGGGGTGTAACGGAGGTCAGAGATATAAAATTTTTGCTGCATTAAAAGTTCCAGACAACAAAGAAAAGAGGCAGAATGTTTGACTTGTGATGGAGAGAGGAGCCGATAGCTGTAGGTCTCACTAGGAGGCTAGAAGATGCACAGAACTGCTGAGGCCGATAGTTCTATATGGGCTGTGCTTTGCTCTCTGCACTACTGGGACCTGTAATTCCACATGGTCTGTGTGACTTACTGGACACTGGGACTGTACTCTCCCCTCTTCCTTCAACAGCTGCCGGTGTGATCCTGAAGGCCAGGACATGCAGCCCTCCAAGGACCCACATTGGTTTTGTGAAGGACCACTACCCTCCAGACTTAATTTTCCCTGCCAGGGTGCCTCAACATCTCTCACAACTGCTACATGCATGGTCCTGAAGCCGCAGTCAGGACCCTAGCCCTCTGGAGGACCCACCAGTCTGAGAAGGACCTCTGCCCTGTGATACAGATTTAACCATCGCTGTACCTGCTTGTGGCCTGCTACTCACTGCATGGATTGCTGCCTAATGACTCTGGACTAGGTCCCTCCTGTACTAGATTGCTGCCCTGTGCCCCTGGACTTATTCCTTGATATGTCCTATTGCCACCCTGTTATATTTCTGCATGTCCCCCAGGGTGTTGGAATTATTGCCCTGTAAACTTCCCCTTATCTGACTCTCTGTGTTTTCAGTCCTCCCAAAATAAAGAACCCCTTGGTCAGGGGCCCTAAAACAACTCCTGATCTATGGGTGTGTTCTGTTCCACCCACATCTCCATCGCAAAGAGTGAGGAATTATTTTCTTTTAAAACACTTTGAGATGCTCCCCCCCTTACCCTCTACCCCTCTCCTATATTCGCTTCCCTCTTTGCCATTCCCTCCTTTCCCCACCCCCCCTTTTTTTTTCCCACCCTTTCTGCTTTATCTTTTTTGCCCTTCTATTTCTCTCCTTTTAGGACTTTTCTTGTGAAATTAACTACCATGATTTTCAAAGGCATACCCTGGGTGTGCATGTATGGGTGACAAAATTAGCCTGAGACACCATGTGCTACACTTATTTATTCAAGCCTTTGCGGGGATTTCTATTAACTTTTTTTTTTGTTTATGCTTCCTTCCGTTCTTTTTTTTATGCTGTTTACAATCTCTCTGCTAACCACTGACCTCGATGCACTGCCACAGCTATATTTCCAGGGCTGAGATCTCTGTGTTTTCAATAGCCTACATATTGTGATAGAAATTTCTTAGTTTCCTGATTGCATTTTGTATCCGTCTATGTCCTCATCTATAACAGTGAATTTTCACTGTTTGGATTGCTTTCTATTTGTTTGGATTGCTTTCTATGATGGATGTAAGCTGGAAAAATATTATCATGTGATGTTTTGTCCTGCTGTAATGTTCTTTATTTTTATTAAACATGACGTCATGGGGGAAAATAAAAAATACAAAAAACAAAATTAAACTCCGGTTTAAAAAAAAATTCTATTCAACTGTATTCAAAAGGCCTCATGGGGAGATTACATCTGTGCCTAGTGCACAGCCTTGTTTTACTTGTATAGGGATGCATAGGTGTTTTGCGCATCCCCATGCCAACAGTTCTTTTTTTTTTTTTTTTTTTGCTGCTGTGCCTTCCTGTTAGAGGATGGCCATGTTTATCCTCTATGGTCCCACTGTACTGCATATACTGTACAAAGGAGCACAGCCACCCTCTCTTGTTTGCTTCTAAGATACTCTTGGAACTATGGGATTTTTAGTGTGCATAGTGCTGTTCCAAACAAATGGAACTGAGTAGGAAAAGGAGAAGTTCAGGAGCTCACAGAGGACATCACAAGGAGGCAGAAAAACCCAACAAGAAACAATTTCACGAAGGTAGATTAGAGGGCCATAAAGTAGCTGGAGTGTATTAATAATTTTTGGAGCGATATCGTTTAGTGATACTTTAGATTTTAACCAAATTACTGAAATCTTAAGTAAGCAACTTTAATTAACATAATGCCTGGTGATCCTGCCATGAAGATCCTTATTCAGGGACTTAAAGCTACAGGGTAACAAAGCTCTGTTCCTTTCTCCCCTTTTTGCTCATCAGAAGGGCTTCCAATGGGGACTACAAACTACCGTTTTAACACACATTACAAAAGCATTGTCCACTGTTGTCACCATCAGGAAACCCTCTCTGTCAAACTCTATGCAGCTCTCTTAATGGAGTGCATGTAGACAGACGGGGCCACAAGAGTCTGCTGGATATCAGTAGGATTGAGATACACAGAAAAATCTTAACAATGTGTATTAATTAAAAAAAAAAATGTCCTATGTTGAGCAGGCCCCCCGTCGGGAACGGTTTCTTAGAAGACCCAGAGCTATTTACAGCACCAGAAGTTCAGAGACAGGAAAAGGACGAGGCATCTCTCCACAGAATATTTCTGCAGGATCCAGCTGCCTGCATAACATGGGACATCCTACATGACAAGCAAGTTAGCTCGCTAAAACTATAGACCGGGTGTCGGCAACCCGCGGCTCCAGAGCCGCATGCGGCTCTTTTTCATCTTTGCTGCGGCTCCGGAGCACACTGCCCACCAGGTGACAGGCAATAGGGTTTCATTGGTCGGCAAGCCGCGGATCGCAAGTCACATGCGGCTCTTCTGTGTGCCGGGCGCCCGCTCCCCTCCCTCCTCTCGGGCGGCCGCCTCAAAAGTCAGGACTCTTTTAATCCGGCCCGCGGAGCGTGGAACATTAGCTGTCAGGATGTAGGCGGGGCAGCCAGGATGTAGGCGGGGCAGCGTGACGAACTCCTCTCACAGTCCGCCCTGAAGACCGGAACACAGCGCGGGAACACAGCGAGAGGAACGCGCGGAGCAAAGGTAAGTGAATTGAGACAATATGGGGAATTAATTACTATAGGGGGGATGAATTACTATGGGGGATGAATTATTATATGGAGGATTAATTACTATGGGGGATGAATTACTATATGGGGGATGAATTACTATGGGGGATGAATTACTATGGGGGATGAATTACTATGGGGGACGAATTACTATATGGAGGATGAATTACTATATGGGGGATGAATTACTATGGAGGATGAATTACTATATGGAGGATGAATTACTATATGGGGGATGAATTACTATGGGGGATGAATTACTATGGAGGATGAATTACTATAGGGGGGATGAATTACTATATGGGGGATGAAGCTAACTGCACGATCCTGTATATAGCATTAAGGTAAGAAACAATATATGCAGTGTCGGATTTGTTTTAAATGTTGCAATGGTTTTGCGGCTCCCAGTCTTTTTTTTTTTTTTTTTTTTTTTTTTTCCCTTCGGAAACGGGTCCAAGTGGCTCTTTATGTCTTAAAAGTTGCAGACCCCTGCTATAGACCATGAAGCTAAACTTCAGCTTTAGGCCTCATGCACACTGCAGCTGGCAAATGCTTATTTTACAGGGGTTTGACTTTTTTTTCCTGTCCTTCAATGCCCCTCTAGGTGTCCATGTACACGTAGGCATTTACAGGCATTTAGAGGCGGAGCATTTAGAGGCAGATATCTGAATGCACAAAAATCGCACTCAGGAGAGGAGTTTGAAATAAAAAATGCCTAACAAGTATAAACATGTTTAAGTGCTACTTAACCACTTGCCCTCCGCCCTATAGCAGAAATACTGCTACAGGGAGGCAAGGCTGCGAAAAATCACATATATATACACATGATTTGCATTTCCAGGTAGGGGCACGATGGCCTACCCACGCCGCTATTGGCATCTAGAGATGTCAATCACCAGGTCCCAGCCGGCGATTCCCTACCGGCACTCGGCGAAAGCTGACAGGGGAAAGAGCTGTGTGTAAACAACACAGGTATCTGCTGTTGGACATGCTGTTTTGTATCTCTCTGCACAGCATGTCTCCCTAGTAAAATACAGCACATTGTTAATCTTTTGATCGCCCCAGATGTTAACCCCTTCCTGCCCAGTGTCATTAGTACAGTGTTAGTGCTTTTTATCAACACTGATCACTGTATTAGTCCTGGTTCACATATATGCCGTGCGGGCTGCGTTTTGCGTGGGCACGAGAGCCCATTCATTTGAATGAACTCCCGTGCCCCGTGACACGCAGGGAAGAAGTCCCTGCACCTCTTACGAAAACGCAGCCCGCACGTGAACCTCGGTTCCCAGTACAGTTGCGTTTTCCAGTGCGGGCGGCGTGCCATTAGAACTAATGGCACCCGCCCACGGGTCCACATTCCTCTGTGCGGGTGGTGCGGCTGCACGGATTTTCGTGAGGATCGGCAGCGGCACCACCAGCACAGATGTGAACCTAGCCTTAGTGTCACTGGGCATGTCAGTGGCAGTTAGTCAGTTCCCACCCAGTGTCAGAATGCCCGCTGCAGTCCTGCTGTAAATTGCCGCCATTACTAGTATAAAAAACAACAAAAATTCCAGTATATATACCACCATTTGTAGACGCTACAACTTTCACGTAAACCAAATAATTTACACATATTAAGATTTTTTTTGCAAAGACACGCAGCAGAATACATTTTGGCCTAAATTTATGAAGAAATTTGCTTTGTTATTGGATATGTTTTACAGTAAAAAGTCAAAAATATTGGGTTTTTTTCAAAATTGTTGTTTTTTTTTTGTTTACAGCGCCAAAAATTTAAAAACGCAGAGGTGATCAAATACCACCTAAAGAAAGCTCTATGTGGGGGAAATGACATAAATTTCATTTATGTACAGTGTTGCATGCCAACGCAATTGTCAGTTAAAGTAACGCAGCGCCGTATAGCAAAAAATGGCCTGGTCAGGAAGGGAGGTAAATCTTCCGGAAGACAAGTGGTTAATGCTAGGCGTGTTTAGCGCTCGAGAATGCCTAAATCCTTGAACGAGTCTAAACACACCTAAACGCGGCTTTAAGCACATTTTAATGCTGCTTTTCTCCTGTCAGGAGAAAAGCGTTCAGAAAAGCTGTGTGTCTATGAGGCACATTAAAGCTCAGCTTTAGATAAAACCTTTTATTTTAATATATTGGAGAGTGGTTAGAACCTCTGCCATATTTTTAATGATATCTAGGACCATTTTCACAGCTGCCCAGAGATGAAGAGCCATAATTACTACCTTAATATCTGAATGATTAGAAACCAGTTCCCTAAGCATAGTAAATAATGCAACAAACTACTGTAGTGTCATTGTTGTTTAAAAGTGGATTGATGGCAGCTGCAATCTACAGTATCTAAGTTATAACAGAGCAATGGAAAAAACCCTCCATGTAGTAAATGCAAGGCCTTTTATCAGCCTGAAAGTGGCAGAACTCCAGTCCACTGCCTCTGGGACTGCCCTGTCTTCTAGGAACTTGCCAGTTGTCACTGGTAAACACAGACGCCAGTCGAGGAAGTTTTCTGCACTACTCACTTCCTCTACTGGCTTCTGTGGTTACCAGTGGCAATGCACCTCTTTAGAGGCTCAGGCGAGTCTCTGCAGCTCTTGCCAAGGACTTCTCCCTGGCACACTAAGGGGATTGGTGTGTGAGCCATGTACTGTGTGTGGGGAAATGGAGGCAGATTTTAGCAACTTTAAGCCGATGACAGGTTTGCTTTATAAATGAGGCCTCTAATAAATAATACTTGTATTTGAGTAACAAAAGTTGGCACGTACCATCTTTGACATTAGACACTTTAACAACCCCTGTGATGGTCACCATATCTCCAGGAACACAACTATCCACTAAATCCTGGATCAGTTCACATTCAACTGTCCTTGGAATTCTCCCGGCTTCCCTCTGATCATCCGACATCAGCTCCTGGACTCTGTAACAGCAAACCACTTTATGAAGCAAATGGCAAATGATAATGTCAAATGATAAGGATGTTAATTAAAAAAAAAAAAAGATCAAGCATCAATGACACAAAACAGGGATTATATTTTTTTCGTAATACTTGCCAAGATAATAAATAATATGAAAATACATACAGGTGATATGCACAGTATCAATATATTCTGTTGCAGAGGGAGGGAAAGAAAAACCACAGACAGGGCTTAAAATTTCAAGCCCTGAGCTAGTAGCCAGGCCTTAAGAGTTACTTTCCACCAGTTGCCCCACCCATCCCCTACCCTGCCCCGTCCCTAATTCCACCCTGGTAAATTATCTCATGCAATGATACTGTTAAATGTTTTATGCAGTTCCCTGCCTCATGCCGCACATCCGCTGGCAGCTGTGTGTCCTGGCTCTCTCCCCTCTTGCTCTCGCTGCTGCTGGAGCTGCACTGTCTGAATACTCAAGATACGAAGGCTGGGTTGGCAAGGATGAAGCGGATTCCCAGCAGGGAGATGTTGGCACTGTTGTCCCTGCAGGAGAGCACTCTGATACCACAAGGAGTGCCCACACAACCGGAGCTGTAAGCACGAAGACCTTGGCAGGGCTGGAAAGGATGAGAGAGGGGAAGATACGGAGGACACAGAGCAAATCACTGAGGGCTATAGGGGAGAGGATAAGGTACCGGAGGAATGTTGAGATGGAAGGGGCGAATTCTGCAGAGCACAGGGACATGTAGCGCTGCAGTCTGTCTTCACAGGCAGAGCAGGAATTTCACCCCCCACATCCTGGCGCCAGCCCTGCCTATGGCCTGGGACACACTCGCCACCTGTTTCCACTCCAAATGCGATCAGGCGAGTGGAAATTTTGAGGTCTGAGTGCAGGTAAATGCCTTTCTTAAAATACACAGTAAAGACACGTTCTGTCCAATGTTTCCTCAGGGTACATGCTAAAGTTTGAGAGTCTTTCTTAGGGCTTGTTTACGATCCATGGAGGATCACTATTTGGAGGGCAGTACAGCAGAGGCTGCCAGGCATTCAGGGCACCATACCACTGCCTCCTAAATTGGGATATTTAGCTGCTTTTTTTTGCATTCAAACTGGAATTTTGAATGGGAAAACAATAGCGCAATTGCAGTGTGGTCCAATTCACTTGAAAACACCTGTTGTATAAAATTTGCCACGCTATGATTGCAGTGACATTGGCCATGTCAACTTGCAGCTGAGCACATTTTTACTGCCCCGTGGCCAGTAATCGAGGCCTTTAAGGAGATCCCTAGAAAGTGGTTAAAGCTGGGAAAACACTGAGATTTTTAGCTGCAAGCAAGCAGACTTGAAAATACATTCTGTATGACACTTACATTCGTGCAGGAATTTTTTTTTTTTTTTTTAAACCTTTTTCTTTTTTAAAACACAAAATTTTTATATGACTTTTTTTTCTTTCAAAACACAATATTTTTATATCCCTGAGTAAAAGTACAATCTTATTTTGCAACTTTTATAGAAACAAAATCTAAAACGGCAAATTACACAAGGCCACCGTGCAAATATATACGCATCCTGTGATGCATTTTCATCAGTGAATAGAACAAACACCTGGATGATTCATCTGAGGCAGCGGAGAGGAAGCCATGAACTCTCGGCTCAGGTTCTGCATAATGGTATTATCAGCAATTCTTTCATATGGAAATATTGGCTGATATTTATAGCGGCTTCTTCAGTCACAAAAGTAGATACGTCTTGAATATAAGCAGAGCTCTGTTATAGAACTCAAGCAGTAAAACATACGGCTGATGACTAATCGCTGTATTGTTCCAGGGCTTGTACAGCAAACACTTTGATGTTTAGCAGCTTTCATACAGAACAGGGAAATATAAAAAATACAAAAAGAAGGTTGAACAGAGAAGGATACCTATTTATACCTCACTACTGACAAACTTTGTTTTAAACAAGTGCTCTACTTACTTGATAGTCTGCCAGTCCACAGTCACCGTCAGCGGAGAACCTCGGTCTGGTGTGAATGAACGTCCACGGCATTCTGGCACAGGACACTGAAACACAAACTAACTGATATCAGAGAGACTTTTAATAAATCTATAGATTTATTGGATCCCTCTAATTACTTAATAAATCATTACTAAAGACAAAATGTTTTTTTTAGATTTGGATAGAACCACTGTCAGGTTTTTATTGCGGTCTGTATCCCTGATAGGGAGATTAATCCCCCGATGGGGCAGCACAGTGGCTAAATGGTTAGCACTTCCGCCTGGCAGTACTAGGGTCGCTGGTTCAAATCCCGACCACGGCACCACCTGCCTGGAGTTTGCATGTTCTCCCTGTGCCTGCGTGGGTTTCCTCCGGGTACTCCGGTTTCCTCCAACTCTCCAAAGACATGCTGGTAGGTTAATTGGCCCTAATATATGTGTATGCATCTAAACTCAGCAGCTAGACTCATCCACCTCACCAACCGCTCCACATCTGCCTCCCCCCTCTGCCAATCCCTTCATTGGCTCCCGATTGCCCAACGCATCAAATTCAAACTGCTAACTCTGACCTACAAAGCCATTCACAATGCCGCCCCAAACTACATAACTGACCTGATACCCAAATACTACCCTACCCGTGCCCTCCGCTCCTCACAGGACCTCCTACTCTTTAGCTCCCTGGTCTCTTCCTCCCACGCCCGAATGCAGGACTTCTCCAGGACTTCCCCCATCCTCTGGAACTCCCTACCCCAATCCATCAGACTGTCGCCTACCCTCCTCACCTTCAGGCGCACCCTGAAAACCCTCCTCTTCAGGGAAGCCTACCCTACCCTCACCTAACACCCGACCTCACCTAACAATTAACCTCCTCTACTCCTCCCGCCACTCCATCCCCCACAGCCATCTCCTCCTGTGCCACCTTCCCCTCCCTCCTAGATTGTAAGCTCGAAAGAGCAGGGCCCTCGAACCCCTCGTGTATTGAACTGTTACTGTCTTGACTCATGTTCTGTCCCCCTTGCTACTGTACAGCGCTGAGCATACCCTTTGGCACTATATAAATACTGTATAATATAATATAATAATGTATGGATGTGAGTTAGGGACCTTAGATTGTACGCTCCTTGAGGGTTAGGGACCTTAGATTGTACGCCCCTTGAGGGTTAGAGATTGATGTGAATGTGAATGTACAATATATATGTAAAGTGCTGCGTAAATTGACAGCACTATATAAGTACCTGAAATAAATTAATTAATTAATCCTTTCTGAATGTCCCGCAAACCAATGTCACCGGGAATGCAAGCGAGGGTAAGACCACAATTTTTAGTTGCTACCACAACAGGAATAGAGAGAAAATCTTCCAATGGGAACACTTGTTACCTTGACATTGGAAGGATATTCTCTAACTCCCTGTTGAGTCTACAGGACAGGAAGTGAAGTACAATCTCCAAATGAGATACCAAAGGAAATATAAAAAAAAAAAACAAAAAAAAAAACACAACCCTGACAGCAGATTTAACCCTCCCCTAATTTATCTAAAACAAAGACTAGATATAGGGAGAGATTTACTAAAACTGGAGCACTCAGAATCTGGTGTAGCTGTGCATGGTAGCCAATCAGCTTCTAACTTCAGCTTGTTCAATTAAAAAGGAGCTCCAGGCTTCCCTCCAAAAAAATAAAAGTCAGCACCTACAAATACGGTAGCTGTTGACTTTTAATAAGGACATTTACCTGCCCATGGATCCAGCGATGTCCGATTCTTCAATCGGCTTCAGATGTAGGTGCCTGCATCTTAAGGGAAACCGACACAGCCAGTTTCCTGCTGCACTTTGTGAATGGTCCCACAGTTTTCTGGGACCTGCGATCTGTCCCTGAAGGCTGCAGAGAAAGGAGGAGGGGAGCAAACTTCTGTCTCAGATAGCTGCAGCGCATCTGACCAGAAGTGGGAGCGGGTACCTCTCAAAACCAACTACCTGCTCCCCCCCCCAAAGGTGCCAAATGTGGCAGTGGAGGGGAGGGATGCAAACAAGTGTAATGTCCCCTTTTTAATAAAATTTCACTTTAAACTTTGACAATAATTCTGTCACTATACTTGCTGGAGATCCTCTTTAGTGTGCCAAGTGAGCTCTCAGTCACACCCAGTCAATTAAGCTGGCCATAGATGGATCAAATTCAGCCGGTTCAACAGGGACCAGACAAATTTCGATCCATTAGTCGATCATTAGCCGCTTCTCAGTGTATTCTGAAACCAGAGAGTCCCGCTGCCAGACTATAATGTCCTGACGGGTAGAATACCCGCATCCACCTCACTTGTGAATGGAGGAATGTTTTGGTTTTTTTTTTTTGTTTTAGCCCACTGGCTGAAAATAAATAAATATCTATGATCAGTCTAAGACCTTGACTTCTATGACTTTAGCTCAACTTAACCTTCCTATTTTCTGTTCTTTTATAGAATTAGCATACAGATAGTATGCAGGGGCATGACGTGAGGAAGGGAGCCAAGGTGCCGTCACTGAATATTAAGTATGGGGAGCTTATGTAAGTTGGAGAAGTGGAAGTACTAGTGATATAGTGTGTTGCAATGCTCCCCAGGCGCAATAAAGAGTGTTTTCCTGTTACTAAAGGTGATAGCACTCTGTGGCTCCTGTTCCGAAGGAGAACGTTTACAAACTTAAACCAGGATGGATGGTTCATTATGCATAACGAACAATCAGCCTGCTATATAACATAGCTATACAGAATAAGGAGGGTGTAAACGCCTTTCCGAGCTTGCCCCATGTTTTGGCTAACTGAATATCATTACAATGATGGCAAACACCTGATCTTTCTCCCCCTTGTAACCCCTTTTAAGAACACTACAAAGCAACTTAACCACTTTCCCTCCAGAGGATTCCCCCCCTTCCTGACCAGGCCATTTTTTGCGATACGACGCTGCGTAACTTTAACTGACAATTGCACGGTCATGTAACGCTGCACCCAAATTAAATTTACTTCCTTTTTTTCCCACAAATAGAGCTTTCTTATGGTGGTATTTGATCCCCTCTGAAGTTTTTATTTTTTGCGCTATAATCAAAAAGACCAACAATTTTGACAAAAAAATAAAATATTTTATTTCTATATCCCCTTATGATTAAGTCGATGACGAAACGCGTCAAGGGAAGTGACGTCAAGACGTACACCGGAACCGGAAATTGACCGGCGGCCATTTTGGAGAAGGGAAACGATCGTATCTGGATTACCTGGACGTTTTCCTGGATGGCTGTGAGGTCTCTTTACTATAACTAAGCGATTTTAAAAGGCTATTTGATGTAATCAGTTTGAATAAAGGTCGTTTTATCATGTGATTGGCGGTATTACACTATTATGTCCCTCATGTTTTGTCTCTGGATGGAGTGAAGCGCTTGAAGATATTGGGAGTACTGTGATTGAGGAATCCAGGGAGGATCGTGGAGATCATTTATTCCTGGGGAAGATCTGCAGGGGAGCGGTTTTGTTCAGCTGTTGGATTATTATAAGCATGCTTTATTAGGATTGTTGGTAAGGGTACCCTTACTATAAGTAGAAGTGCACACTAGTTTGCATTTTTCTTTGTGTGGCACTGAAGAGTGATTCACATACAAAGTGTTTTCACAGATTATGTCACGGTTTTTCACTATTTTTCACAATTATTCACTGCATAAATTGCATGGTATGAAATTAATATTTATGTTTATAAAAGGTAATGCACTATGTGATATTTTCCTTTTTTTGAGATATATGCATCGGGAGATCGCTGGAAGAATTGATTTGATTATATTCTACAGCTTGAATTATTTTTCACTGTGAGGAATTAGGGAAGTTAGGGGTAATAGTTGATGGACTAATTGATGGACTTCACTGTTGTTGTTTAATTTTGTTTTTGATAACACTTTCACATATATTATTTTGTACACTGTCAGGGGAGGGTGTTGTTTGTGTTGTGGGGGAGTTTTAGTTGTATTTTTGGAGGTGGTTTTTGATTGAAATAAATATTTCAATATCAATGCCAAAATTTCACCATTTCTGGCAGGGGATGTAAACGTTTAAGTACAACTGTGTGTGTGTGTGTGTGTATATATATATATATATATATTTTTTTTTATTTTATTTTTTGTTTTTGCTATTAAACGTGCAGTAAAGAAATTAAAAAAAAAAAATTTCATCATAAATTTAGGCCAAAATGTACTCTGCTACGTCTTTCCTAAAAGAAATTTCCAATATGTGTAAATTCATTATTTTTTTTTTTTTTTAAGGCAATTTCGTCAACGAGTTTTGCCCCTCCTCCAGGGGGTTATCACAGACAAAAGATCTCCGGTTCCTGCTTCCAAATATATAAGTGGGGAGGTATATTTGCAAGTAAATAACGCCCTGGAGGAGGGGTGAAATGCATTGACACAATTTCCGGTTCTGACGGAGGCTTCGTGACGTCATGTCCGGTGAGTGGAGTGCACACTGGCTGCGGCGCTCCCGAGTCATTTTGTTGGAGAGGAGAGCACATCCACATAGACTGCTGCCAGTTCACTTTCTATGGAACAACGATTGATGTGATCTGCTATCTGCTTGTGACAAAAGTTTACATTTGCAAGGCTTGTTACCCAATTTTGAAATTTGAGTGCAATATGTGCATTGGTTTTAACTAACTGAAGAGTTTATGCAATATTACACTATTAGTGTTTTCTGTTCTTTTTTTCAATTGCGATCTATCTGTGGATGATCATTCGGAGGTTGTCAAGCAAGAATTTCCTGAGTGGGATTCATTTTTGGAGGATATATCCCACCTTTAAGCTTGTTTGACTCTTAAGCCCGATCAGCTAAGGGTCCATTCCATTTGGTGAGTGTGGGCCAGATTGGAGGTCACGGATGGTGTGGGCATGTTGGAGTGTTTCTAGCACTGTTTCTTGATTGGAGCACATTCTTTTGACTATTGATTTGGGACTTTGGACTTTAATTTTTTATATTTTCTATTTTTTATGTAATTTATTATGAACATTTGTATACATTTTTGTGCTGCGGTTTGGTCATATAGACACACTATATTGTCTATAGCCAT